ATATCAGATAGGATTGAGCCCAGTATTGATCCCCAAGGAGCTCTGCCTGATTGCCATTTGATTTTGAGCCATTCCCACCCTTTCAGCACAGCAGTTTAGCCAGTTTGCTGGCAATCTCATGGTCCCCATCTGTGACCTTTCAAACTAACTCTCCTAGCACCCTCCTGTGCTTCTTGTCAAGTCCCACAGACTTGCCCATGTCCAATTTGTATAATATTTTGTTGTTAACTTGCTAAGCATGTGGTCAGGGCAGGTAGCATCAGCAAAGCATCAGCAGGCAGCAGTCAAACATGAGAAAAAAGTTTGAATTTAAATTTCCTTATGCCAGGGTTCTTAGGATCCTTGGTTTGATGTTAAAAGCACATCAGAGGTTATGGGGCCTCAGCAGTTTCCCTTCATAGAAAGTGGGGCAGTGGCCTCAAGGAGCTCAAGTCCTGTGAGCTGTGCTTGGACAAGAGCCTTGAGCTGGCAAGAAACCAGGCAAGGTTATGAAACCTTGCATGGTAGTTGGGTTCCAGGAGAAGATCAGTAGTACCAAATTGTCCCCATCTTTTTTTTCAATAAATTTTTTTTATTTTTTCAATAAATGGAAATCCAGCGCTAATGTTTTGTTACAATTGGCCTGAACGGCTGTGTACTTGAATATTTCTAAGCTGTAATATCATATTCTCTGTGTATAAATGAGAATCTAAAAGGTCAAACCTGTTTATGATTCCTCTGATTAAAATGATTCATCTCCACAGTTAGGTTGCTGAAATTGTTTTAACAGTTCCAAATTCAAAAGGTAATTTCAATACCTTAAGTAAAATTAGTAAACATTAGTTTGATTTCCAGATCATTAACTGGGTGTATTTCGTGTAGTTTTGCTTATTTATCTTTAACACTTGGAAACTTTGTATCACTACAGAGTGTTTTTTCTGTAAATTTCCTTCCAAGAATTGACAGTATTTGGTGTCATTAAGCAGGGCAAAGATCTCTTCTCCTCTATTCATTATTCTGCTTGAGATCACTGTGTCGTGAATTCTTGCAGACATATTTGAAAGTTAACTAAAGAAGGAGGTGGTTGTAGTCTTTTGTTAGGTTCTTAATGCAAGGTAATAACATTGTCTTATAATTTGGGTGTAAAGGTGTTATTGTGATGTTTGGATAAACATACAAAGGCATCTGTTGCATTTTTACCCCAATGCAGAATTCCTTGCAGATTTACTTATTAGCCTCCATTCCCCAATTCTTCCTTATCTGTAGAGGGTACCTTAAGTTAGCCTTCTAATACTATTTCCCCTGGTGCAGGTGGTTTGTAGTAGGTATGCACAATCATTTATATTCCAGCATTTAAAGTAGCTGTATTCCAATGCTTCTGAGCATCTCCAGTTTCACCTTTGAAGTGTTACTCATAAATAAAATTATACACATCAACTGTTCCCAGGATCCGTGGGAAAAAGGATAATAGACTAGCATGATTTCTTATATAATTTTTTTATTGTGTGCTGCTTATGATTAGTATCATTTTGCAGGATCACAATCTTGTGTATAGTTACAAAGGGAGAAGTTGCTGATTTCCTGGATGTCAGAGTGAACTACAGATTACCATAATGTATTTTTCTTAGTGAATTAATATTTTTCCATAATGGGGCTTGCATTAAATGCTCTGTTTGTTATGGCTGGGTAGTTCTGTTTTCATCTGGATGTTTTGATTTATGTGAACTTTATATAGCTTCCATACTTGCCCAATTATAGTCTTACATTTCTCATACTGGAGATACATTTTAAAATGCATAGAATGTGCTCCCCGTTCCAGTGTTTTCAGCAAGAGCTGATAGGAGGGTCAGGACTTCAGCATATCAGTTGTTTGAATTGTCACTTCATCCTGAATCCCAGCTACCAAAAAATAAGTACATTTGTTCTTAGTTTTTATGCCCTTCTTGGTCATTTCATACCTTTGGCTAGAATTAACTTACTTGATTTTGTTTAGTGCCATAATGCCCCTTAGAGCTTCTTCTTGACAGGCATTTTGTGAATTCACTATTTTCCTTTCTTCTGAGTACTGATAAAGTGACACCCCGTGGATTCTCCCTGTCTCTCCCTTTGCACTTCAACTCTCACATCCTTTCACTTCCATTGTGGAAAATCATCGGTGAATGGTATCATTGTACTTCTGCTCTTAAAAGAGTTCAGCTGCAGATTCATCCTTCCTTTTTCATTCCAGTTAAGAGTTGTCATATCTCAGGTCCTATACAGAGGCTGTCATACAGATTCTAACTGAACAGCTGAAGTAGGTGTTCCCTGTTTGAACGGCTTTCCCGGACCACCTGGCAAAAGAATGAAACCTGCTGGTACAGGTGAAAAAATGCCTGCAGTGTCATGCCATGAAATAACCATCCGCTGCAGTTTTCAGCAGTTGCATGCTGTTTGTAGGCATACATTTAATCATAGTGTTGCCACCCATGTTTAAATATTGTTAAATCTACTTAATGAGTTTAAAACTGTGAGTTTTCTTTTTCTGTATGTTTCGTTTCCTATTTTTGTCTTCTTTCTTTGCTTTTGCAGGCTGTGTTATATGTTTTGTTTGTTTATGCTTTCTTCACATCATTATTTGACTGTTTTCATCATCCACTGTTCTCTGCTGTTTTCCTGCCTCATATTTTTCCTTCTCTACTTTCTCCTTGAGCTTAACTTCTCCTTGTGTTTTCACTCTGTTCTCCAAATACTTGTTCTCATTCACAGGTATGAGCAGTTCATGGTTTTTCACACATTGTCTCAATCCCAATGCTACTGCTTGGGCTATTTTGCTTCCTCAGATAAGTCTTTAGAACCAGTGACATTTCCAACCTCCTTTTCGTTCTGTTAAAGAGAAATATTGGCTTCTAGGCAGTTTTACACATTCAAATGTTCCCCCCACTCCTGGCCAGCTTCACCCCACTTAATTCTGGATACCTAATGCAGGTGCCTAATTTATGTGTGTGGTCATCCATGGTTACTTCTGTGGTCATTGAGAAGAGAAGGGCTTCTTCAAATAGTGGTTTGAACCAGGAGGGACCAAACTGATCCCAGTATTCCTTCTTCTCTGCTGACCACCAAGGGAGCTTTGGATGACTGCTCTTCTAACAGGATGTCTCAGATTTTTAACAGTCACCTCTGTTAAAAGTCTACTGCTTGTACATGTGTTTTCAATTTTGATCTCCTTCTAACATGATGGATTTTCAGGGGTTTCCCTATTATTGCCTAAAATAATCAATGCATCCATGGTACAGCATTATGGAAACAATGTAAGAGAATTGAATTAGTTTGCTTTAAAGAGCCCAAACAATATATTCAGCCTAATGACTGAGGGGAAAGAAAGTTCTCGCCACTTCCAGTCCTTGTAAAATTAGTTTTTCATCTGCCCCTATTCCTGCTGTCTGACTAATCGGTCTTGTGCACTGAACTGATGAACTGATCCTTCTGCTGCCACTTCCCTCCCTCTGCTGGAATACTGATGTACTCACGGCACAGTGAGAAAATATTTCAGTAGCGGAAGGTTTACTAAAGGACAGCCTGAGGCCCAGACTGCAGAATTAGATCTTGAGTGGGAATATATAGGGAAAGAAAAAAAAACTGTGAAAGAAGGAGGCTGAAAATGCAACAGCCAGATTGAAAGAGCAGAGAAGAGCCATAAAGGGCATAATCAAAGCTGTATGAAATAACAGAGGCGTGTGCTTTTACCTGTTTGGCTGGCACTTCTGAAGCAAGAGGCACTTCTGAGTAACTTGATGAGTGTCCACATTAGAAACTAAGAAAGTTATTGTCTGTTGGCTTGTTAATGTAGTTAGTTAATTGATGTAATTTTTCCAATTTTTACATAATTTGACATAAATACATAGGGTAATGTTTAAAGAAAAGAATCATGTGATGTGTGAACATGAAATTGATCTGCCATGGTCAACTCTGTCACTGTTAGACAGAGGGTAGGTGATGGTGTTCTATGGCTCTGTTTGGCCACTCGTCACTATATTTGCTTTATGATTTATGTAAAGTAAATAATAGAAAGAAAATAATAGAAAAACCCCTTTATAAATTTTTTGGACACTTGGACATATCAGGGTTTCTTTTTCAAACTGCAGTTGGAGCAGCTTTCTGACAGCTTACTCCAGGACAAAAGAAAGCTGCATGAATGAAGTTTGTAATATAAATGAGAATATTTGACACAGGCAATATAGATCTGTCTGTAACTTGCTTTATCCTATGGCTGGAGTCTGGGTTCAGCTATGGATACTATCTTAGACTCCATTTGTGAGGAACTGTTGAAGAACTAAGCTTGAAAGAAATCAGGCATAGGTTTTATTCCTATCTGGCTTCTACACCACAAAAAAAGCTGAGGCTCTGTTCACAAACTGTTTGGCACCTGACAGACATTTTTCTTCCAGTGATGTTCTTAGCTTTAATTATAAGTAGTTTTCTATATTATAAAGTATGCCATATGATAATTACTCAAATGATAATGCACTTCATTCATCTTTAGGCTCTAGTTCCATGAACACCTTTATTCATGCTCAGACTAAGATGAAGAGTTTTAGGAAGCTACAGACAGAGCAGCGAAGAGCCAGCGTAACGGTCTGAAACATCAGGGCCCAGCTCACGAGGCTGATGGCCTTTGATAATTAATCCTGCTGAAAATGTCTGCAGTAGAAGTCAGCATTGCTCTCTTTACCTAAATTTTATGGTGTTGGCCTTTTATGAAGGAGCTGAGTTAGACTCAAGTTGATCAGGAGAGAAAAATCATGCTAGCTGCTCTGTATTTGATCCGCAGTTTTACGAGATATGTTCTGAGTGTGACATAAATTATCAGTTGGGTGGAACAGTGAAACTATTCTTATAATTACAGCCTATGCTATCCCATATGACTATGGTGTGATGAGCTTAAATTTATAGATCTTTTATATGCATAAATTTGGAAAGAAACATTTCTAGCTTGTGTAGCCCCACACTCCAAATGAAACCAGAAAATGACGATTAGCTAAGCCTGCGTGTATATGCACCTCTGCAGGTTAAACAAATTTATTTACAGCTCTGATTTCTGCTGTGTGGTTTTGCAAATCCATGTCTGGGATCTGTGAGCAGTTCCACTGTCAGTGCCAGTCCTGAGCTCTCGAGTACCTGTAGAGGAGGCAGCACATCAGATTTACATCTTTTTAGCTGTTCTTCAAGGATGGCGTTACTGACAGCGGCATCAAGTGTGGCCAGAAATCGTTGCAGATCATGGCCTGACATTTTGACAATGGTACTTGGACACTTTAGTGGAGAAAACGCTGTAATAAATGAATTCTAAACCCGGGGTTTGTTATCAAAGAACTTGATTTTGCAAAGCTTAGACTTTGTTACTTGGAGTTAGCAGGTAGGACAGCATCCTTTAATCATCGCTTTTGACACGGCACGACGTCATCGCAAAGTTTAGGCAAGGAAAAGAAATAAATAGCTGTTTAAAAAAAAAAATGTGGAATAACAATGAGAAGGCCCTCTCCCTGGGAGGCAGGTTACGGGTATAACGAGGGCAGCAGCGCGCAGGAAACTCGCTCGGTGTCCCCTCTGTGGTCGGGGCCGGGCGGCAGCCGCGGGCGAGGAGCGGAGGGAGGGGATGGGAGGAGATGGGAGGGAGGGAGGAGACGGGGGAGAG